TTCTGAAATGTGCATAATGTCTAAAGAAATTCCTCGTCTAGTGTGATTACACGAGAAAAGGAACATTATGGTTACGATACGTCATATGTTAATATTACTTTGTTTATGAAATGGAAATTTTAAAAAATCTCTAACGATCTTAAATATATTTTCCAAGTTCGTAAAAATAGTATTGTCATTATCATTATTGCTTTTTTATTTAACGAGAATTTTTTAAAATTTATTAATTTTCAAATATGTTTGATTTTATTGAGAAGAAGTTAGTTAGAATTCATCAGGATTTGAATCTTCACCCTTTCATATTTGCATGGTACTAGACATATAAAATTTGTGAAATTACATAAAAAGTTACACGAAGATTTTGAAATCTTATCCGGCGATATTTATGTTTAATTTATTACAACAAAATTTGCATAATGCGTCTCGAATAGCATGCAAACTATGTGTAGTACCTATACTTGCATCTCGGCTGACAATTCCTCTTGAATGAAATACACGAAACCAGATACAAACCTGTTATAACTTTTCTTTCCCCCGACACGTAGATATTTTATCAAGTAAAGGTGACTACATCTTGCATGACATTGTTAAATATTCATTTAGTTTATGAAAATTTCGAAAATTGACCAAGGAACTTCCTCAAAGTAAGTTCAGATTTAGTGCTTTCTCCAGAATCGTTGCAACAATATTAATTCACACCTGTCTACCTTAAATTACGTAAATTATTTTCTAAAAAAAATTTTGAGCATAATTACCATTGAAGCATCGACCGTATCTATAACAATGAAAAATTGAACGAAAACAGTGTTAAATCCACATCAGCCAGTTATCCAACGTTCATTTCCATCGAACCTAATATCAGTTCGTTACTTATTCACGGCAAATTACACGTTTCCCCTGCAAATTACTTCATTCGATTACATAAAACGTTCTACGCACAAAAAACCCTCATCGTTCGCGTTATTCATGTACACACCTGTATTAGCGAAGAGCATCAATTACACATCAATTTTCCGCGTAATCTTCGTTTCGTTTCCTTGATTTCGAAGCCGCTGATTTCCTTGAATTCCGAACACCGGAAACAGAAGAGAAGCGGCGCGCGTGTTTGGTAAATAAACATAAAGCGCGGAGGGGAGGAAAAATCACGGGCAAAGCGTACGTCGTTGGACAATTAATTCCAGCACATGTCGCGACTAGCCACCTTCGCTGCTTTTGCATAGTGCACAGACTTCCGGCCGAAACAATTTTGTTTGCGGCTCTTTCGTTATTTCGGGGGCTTTTGCACCGGTACAGGGAAGCTCGCTCGGTGGATGCACCGTCGACGAGCGAGCAAAGCGAAACCCGCGAGGGGCGGCACTTTTGCCCTGAATTATTGATGTCAACGTAATGGACTTCAATGGGGCTGCGCAGATATATACACGCCGCTTCATCCTGCATGCACGCGTCCGGAAATTACGCCTCTCCTCTTTTTCTGCACACGTACAGACGTCTTTAGAACGTGCACGGGGTATATACAGACTGGGGACGGATTAATTCAACTTCGTCGTGCCTTCACCGTCTCCCAATCTTTATCTAAGATTCCCGAAATGAGGAAGAGGGCGATAACGTTCCGGCCGGAAGAATAGCTGGTATCGTTAAGTTGGGATCTTCGTTGAAACGTTTTTATTTTTAATGGAAGTTGAACGAAGTACTGTGCGGCGCTCGGGAGTTTGCCCGCGGGGCAGCACAGGGGCAGGAAGGGCGCTTCGTCGATGTTGTCACGTCGGCCAATAATGACAACGCATGTGTCGTATTTTTATGATTTGGTTAGAGAAAGTGGACTTACGGGGATGTGACTAAATCAAAGGAGCAAACTTCTGAGCTCTGCAAAGTAGGTATTTTAAATCTACGATTGCTGCAGGCGGAAGTAAGAGTTTCTTTGTGATAAGAACCGCGATGTGAGACATTCGGAAGCTTAATTCTTCGTAAATAAAAACAATGTGAGAAATTTAGCTTGGTGGAGTTAGTCACTTTGGGTTCTATGATGCTGGGAAGCATCATCAGGAAGTGAAGGGTCTTAACGAAGTTTGCACATTTTGCAACGAACCGTATGCCAATTCAAAATTCAAAGAGGTTTGCAATTCGTGTCATGCTTCGATACTAAAATTTCCAAAACTTCCAAAACTAGAATCAATCATTTTAGCTTCTTAGTGGTTCATTTCAAATTTCCCAAGCTTCCTACTCGATTGATTTCACAAACATCTGCAAAGAAACCCCGCAAGTATCCTTCGACTGTGCAGACTACCCTTGTAACGTGGGTCTGAATCCGCTAACATCCCGAATTCCGTCAGAGAATACTCAAGTCGAGACCTTGGAAGATGTAGCTGGCAGTCTAAAACAACGTCTATACGTCCCGGAACATTTATACGTGTATGTATCTGCGAGTTTCATTAATTAAGGGAAGGAACATCTACCTTACGTGCAATTTGTAGCTTACACAAGTACAGTGGAAAGAGAAGGGAGTCTCAACGTTATAGAAAGTTCTCTCTCTGTGTGTGTACGTGTCTGTCTGTGTATGTACATAAGACAGAACCGGAAGCGGAGTGCGCTTAACCAAGTGCATTTCTTACACCGGTTGAATTTCACTCGTAGCCGAGGATCGAAGGTCGGGTACACGGACTACAAGCTTTCGGTTACGATATCGTAAACTATTTGCCGCAGGAGACTGCGGTATATATGTCTCGGTTTAATTTTGACGCGGAAATGTCGGTTTCCACTTGTTCAGGAATCGGGCCTGGTTAAAGCTGTGAAACAGGTCGCATTTCTATTTCATTGTACTCCGTTCTTCACCTGAGAATTACATTATTATTGCACGATAATTAACCACTTCAGCGAGACTTGTGCTGGTTGGTTGGTAGGTCGCTGTTAGTGTTACACTTACAATTGATCGTAGAAATGGCAACCGTTGATAGAGATAGGAAGAAACAAGAGATAACGTTTCCTGCAACATCGTTCTTTACGTTCATTTTTCTTTGTAGAAGATTTCCTTTACCTGCTACCTTCGTTCTTCGTTCTTGAGCACCGATAGTTCCTTCCACGTGATATTTCTCTGGAAATTTCCTCCCGTGAAACAGGTTTCTCTCGTCCTGTATCTCTAATTCTCTTTTGTCTTCGAGTTCTCGAATTTCGAACTTGTCGGTTTCAAGCTTGTCTGTTTGTGTTGATATCGTGTACTTGCCGTTGGAACGTTGTAAAATTAAATACCTGCCTTTGATTGTTAATATTATTCTGGTTTGAAAATGTGTATCAACGTTTCGACGTTATTCAGGTATAAAAATAGAATTTTATTTTCGTAACGTTCAATGGTTTCTTGTCTGGTAGCAAAAGTGTATCTCCAACGAAACAGCCTCTGAGTTGTAGTATTTAATCGATGCAACAGTGATTGCCACAACTGGAAGTTCTGCGATGCGTATAAAATTGTGTTGTATTGCATAAAAATTTTTCCACGCAGTCACGAAACCCATTTGTCTATGCGATATTGATTTTCAATTTACGTCTCCGCATTTGCGTGACAGCGAGCGAGAAAAACATGCATACTGATAATGATAGATTTCGTTGTTCAACCTTATTTTATATCCGTTTCAAGATTTTTATGTGATAAAAGTAGCCTCGATAAAAACGATAAAAGCAACGTTCCACTTTTCAGACATACTGTAAAAAAATCTATCTTATCGAAAGTTCGTAAAGTGGAATATACATAATATTTTATATCGTGCACTAAATTGGGTTCTACGATTAAAGAGACTGAATTTTAAATGTGTTACTTTTTTAACTAATACTGTGTTTCACATAAATTCGTTAAAAATTGGTAAAACATTAATATTTTAGTATTTCAACTTCAACTTCCAGAAACAAACTTCTTTCACATAATTCAAAACGTAACAGCTAACTAACGTAACGTCAAGTAACAGCTAGCAGCTAAATGAGTTTGAATAATTTATAGTTGTATACAACGAAAGACGAAAATCTAACAGAAAAATACTGAAAATTGATCAATTTTATTGAAGATTAGATCAATTAATCTTCACTACGTCCAATTCATTCAAATCCAAAGCTTGCTGAGATCTAACAAAAATACTGAACCGATCAATTCTTCAGCAAAACGTAATATCTTCATAATCTCTGCTATTTCTTTCAAGATATTCCACGTCCATTTCATTCAAATCTGAGAATCCGCGTTTAAACGACCAATTTCTAGTACCCCCAATTATGGCACCTGGTGCAACAACGTTGGTCGAGTAAAGAACGCAGGATGCGAGAAAGTTGATCGATAAAATTTCGAGTGTTCACGTAGGCACCTCGATAAGCATCATCAGCGGTCCAATACTCGGAGGCGCATCTTTCCTCGTCGGGTCAGAGACAGGGCTAGCCTACTTTCTCCACAAAGAGAATTTTTAACCGATGTGTGAGGGTTCCCTCTCCCTGTCTTCTCATCCTGACCGTCGTGACTCTCTTCCTCCCTTCCACCCTGCAACCATTCACTCTTTACCAGTCTCCTCAGTTCATTCCCTCTCGCTCTCTCTTTACGGTTTGTCGTTTCCTTGATTTACTCGGCAAGCTCACCGGAGAATTCCTCCGACTGGTACCCCTCTCAGAGTCTATATAAGCGGACTGTTCATACGAGACCGAGCATTTTTTGTGTTAGTAGTGACGGAGTCGCGGGTCTCCTTCGTCAAAGAGGCTGACTTGGCCGGTTCAAGAGTGTCAGGATGGTGTGTGCGACGCGTCACGATAGATCCGTGTCCGATTGAAGCTAAGGAGAAACGCTGATACCAGGAGGAACGTCGTCTATTCTTTCGGTGTGTCTTCGAAGTAAAGAAAATAGAGAGAGAGAGAGAGAGAGAGAAATAGAGAAATAGAAGAAAGAGGAAGAAGACGAGACGTGTCAACGAGGCGAAAGCAGCCTGGGAGTGTCGTTTAATTTTTGTGTACAGTGCGGCCAACGATTTGCGCGCGTGCAACCATGCTTCGATGTAAGGTAGGTGCGATCGTGGATCCTCATGCTCGTGAAAGTCAACGATCTTCACTGAGTACACGAGGTTACTCTTGATTTTTCGGTTGCATGTTCGCGTGTTTTGTGTTTCGACAGGTGATTCGGACTGGTTTGGGAAGGACGAGATGGTATGATACTTGATGAATTGTTCGAGGTGATTATGAGATTGCAGGATGGATTGTTATGAAGATATGTTTTATCGTAGAAGTGATTCTTTTTGGACGAGTCTCAGGATAGTTGTTTGCTAATTTTTTACGGTTCGATGGAAGCTGGCAGTTTTTAGTGCTAGGACAAGCAGAATTTGATGTAGATTTTGTAATTAATCGTGACGAGTAGTTGCAATGAATTTCTAATTCAACTCCTCGACTTGCGATTTTTTTTGTTAGGTACTTTTGGTATTAGGTAAGAAAAGCTATTATGGATTAATTAAATTTGGTATTTCTTGGTCTTATGAACTGAAACGAAAATTTGACGAGAATCTGCGCCACGAGTCTGACTCGTTGCAAGACAAGGGGTTAAAATTCGTTTTTGGGTTTTTCTAATAAAACAAGTTGGAGTAAATTACTCAGAAACTGATCCGTTCATTCGAAAAAAGAGTATGTTGGCAGTAATTAAAATTAGGATAAGTTTTTCTGCTAGTTTATGAATAAAGCAAGAAATTATTCAAATACTGAATGGAACATGATTTGAAAAAGTAATTGATCTTCAATTATCGATAAGTATGACTAGATTGACGAAACGTAATTATTAATTTTTCATTTACTTTTAACGAGAAGATTTTTAAAAGTAGACAATCCACGTAAAAATCACGTGTTTTCTTTTCAACGTCACGATTTTCTTAAAAACTTCGTGAATTTTTTAAATTACAATGAAAAAGCGTTCCCTCTTTGAATTTAAATTCCGCGTGAAAAGGGGCGCGCATATTACAGAAAGGAGCCTAGACGGCAAGAGCATATCAGTAACTATTATAAATAGTGACGATTTTAGTGTGTAGATTAAAGAAATACAAGTTTCTCGTTGAATTAGAAATTTCTTATTTTCCACTGTTTAGTCTGACAATATAAATATTAAAGAAAATTACTCTCTCTCTTTCGGCAAACGCTTGCTATTAAAGCATATATACGGTGAAAGACGATTTACTAATTTTTTATCGGTGCATCAAATGGAAAACGCACCAGAAAATTGAATAACTATTTCGATGATATGAAAACGATAACTGTAGCAAATAAAAGTGAAACGTTCGAGAGACACAGATTAACAAAATTGTTCTTGTAAAGTGAAAATAAATAAATTCACAGCTGTTGAATTAATCCTAGAAAATGTTACAGATGTTGCATCAACATTATGAGAATAACTAAACGTGATGAAAGCGATTATACCTTTTGCTTTTCAATTAAGGCTGAAAGTATGGAAAGCAGCGATTGTAGCTTAGTTTTATGATAATTAGATACTCGCGGTCGTAAGAATGATTCGAAGAAGTATTCAAAAGAATACTGTTGATTGTCTTTTAAACGTTGCAGAAAATTATTTAATTTGCAAATTTAGAAAGTGAAATAATATGCCTGCTTGTTCGCAAAATTAGTGTAATAAATATTGAGAATTTTCAGTAAATAGTCTTCCTTTCGTTATTTTTACGTATTAATTGTATTGTATATTGAAAATTAGCATATAATTTCTCTCAAACAAGTATGAAATATCACAGTGCAGTTAAAAATCGTCCAATATTTGACGACACAAAGAATTCTTAAACCCAACACCAATTTTACGCATTCCTTAGAAAAATGACAATAACAAACACGACACACGTCTCACAAAAGCTGTCTAAATCCTCACGAACCGCTAAAAACTATAAGGTTCAACCAAATAGCTTTCTGTGCAAATCTGAAAACTAGGCAATAGAAAGTCCAATTATGCAAATTAGCCAAAGTCTCCTAATTTCTCATCGCACGTTCGATCAGCAATTCAAATACCACATTGTGACAAATATTTGCATACGAAATCGAACTAAAATTCCTATCCTTTCAAACCATTATAGAACTTCGCGAAGAAATTTTTCGAAATAATTCGATCTTTCGTAACGCAAAGTTTCGTCGAATCGGTAAACATTAGGCGTTAATTACAATGGAACTGACGTCATTTAGCGTACACTGTGCAAATTTACGGTTTTGCAATCGGCCGGTTTGCTCCTTGGAGCGGCAATCAAAACGTAGCAAACCGTACACACTTTCACGCGATTCTCGGCCACCTATTAGCGTTCTCACTTTAATCGTCTCTTTTTTTCTCCCCTCTGAAGCTTATCGATTTACGACGAAATCGAGAGTGCACAAAAACAGGAAGCGACACACGCGTTGTCGCGCTGGCGCGCGCTTTCAGGGAGAAGTCGGTGCCTGCACACGCGGAAGCAAGCGAAATAAATATCGTATTTTCCGGTGAATCGTATCGCTCGATAAGAAGAGACGGCTTCCATTGTATTATGTGCATTCGTCCTACGTGCTTGGAATATATGTACGTCTATGCATGAAGAAGGTGTTTGACCTAGTCGCGATCTGCCTACGTCCATGTTCTCGCCTGTCTGTCCATTTCTATTGCTACACCTACGTGCCAAACTATTGCACACGTTGATGTGCAGGTTGTATCTTGAGAAATTTTGAGGACGCATTTTTAAGGGGACGTTTGCTTGAATTAGGTCTAAGAAATCAATTTTCTGTTAGTGCGGAGATTGGAGAAAGGACGTATTTTTAAAGGGACATTTGCTTGAATTAGGTCTGAGAAATCAGTTTTCTTTTTCAATTTCGCTGTTAGTGTGAAGATTGTAGAATATTCCGCTTAACCCTTTCGCGCTCACATTCTTTTCTCAACTTGATGTGCCAAAAATGATCAATTTAATTTTTTTATAATTATTTCCTAGGAACAAAGAAATAGGTTTCCCCTTTATCTACAATGCTGTGACTTACATTTTTCAAATTCTAAATATTGATAAATAACCGGTTTGAAGTGAAACGTGCGAGAATAAAGTGTATGAGAAACTTTAAACGCGTTTCTCTCGAAACTGCGTTTTTCAAACTGGTTGACATGATTTCTCAGAAACTAATGTGCCGATTCACTTGAAATTATATGTATGTACGTCTTCTATGTACCTCAATCTATCGTCTCCACTGGAATTATAGTGGATTAGACCAAAAGCAATTTGTTTAATACTAAATTTTTGTAGAATTTTTTTTTGAAGAAGGAATTTTCTTCTATTCCAAGTAAATTCTCTTTCGACACACGTGACAAAACGCTCTGAATATTTTAATAGTAAATTTTGATTACAACTTTGGAAATGATGTTTTCTCGTAAACTGAAGGATTAGAAGATGAAACGTGAGTTTGATTTATCCGAAGATAATAACGTCAGGTAACGAAACGTGCAAACCTGTTTGGATTATGTACTTCTGAGGTTAACCTAAATTTCGAGTAGAATCTATAAAATTTGAAACTTCACCGAGCTACTGAAAATGCAGTTCAATTTCCGAGGGAATTTCATCCGTTGATAATTACCTGAAAACATGAAGGCATAACGTCTTTCACTTTTCATTTCATTAAGTACATTTCGTATGTTCCGCATATTCAGTTGCAATGTAAACTCGTTTTGTCCCACTTGACCCGATTTTCCAACTCTAACCGTTTTTGCACCACATAAATTACGCGTTCGTATTCACGGTAAACCTACGAAGTAATTGTTGCGCTCGTGCATAGTGCTTTCTACGTTAAATCGTCCATCTTCTAAATATACTTAAGAGACCTCTTGCTTCTTCGGCGCATTTACAAATCGTTACAGTTACAATTCGCTGAAATTGTTCAATTGGGGAAACTTTTCCTAGAAAATAAAATTTACGCGAATTTTATTGGGAATTTGAAAATTTGCTAGCACTGTCTCGCAACAAGTGTTTCAATTTCGTCAACAATTCCGAGAGATTGCGAGAATCTTCCACGAAGTAGAGCTGTAATATGAAATGAAAGTCAGGTTCAAACGTTTTACGTGATCTCTTATTATTTACGTGTGCTAAATTCGCCAAAGATACAAGGCCCACTTATTCACGTACATTCTGTACACGTAGAAGACATGCAACCTACTGATCTCGTCTCAAAGTATCCTGACTGTGCTCGTCAACTCGACTGTCGAATTAAAGTCATTCTTCGTTGAACGTTAACGACTTTTCCTAAGGCCTGTTATCGTAATATGCACCGTGATATAGGTAATTTATGGACAGATAATTATGCTATGTTTTTAACGAGATTACAGCGATATACTCGATGAGCAATTATAACAGCGCTTTTAATAAGGCTTGCACTACTTTCGAGTGGTGCAAATGATAAATATTTAATATCGCAAATTTTTCGATGCAAGTTTCAGTTTGCCCTTGTTAGGGAAAAATGAAGAGGAAAAGTGTCGTTGAAACAATTTTTAATAATTAATTTTCTAGTTAAGGTAATTTAACACAAGTGTGATAACAATTTTAATATTTTCTATATGTCACTTGTCGTAAAATTTTTTTTAATTAACATATGGATATTGGTTAATTGTATTATACTTTGTGTGAGAGTTTCAGTTGGATTTTATATTTATATTCTTTGAAAAATATGAAATAATCAGCTATAGAGTATTGATAAGATACAAATGCGAATATACAATACAGGTTCTTTTTTAGAAAAAGCATTTCATTTTAATTAAGATATATTGAACTACAACACAAAAATTAGTATTGACATTTGTGTGCACGTTGTACTATTGATACTGTGAGAGTGCGACATACGTGTACAGGGAAAGAAATATTAAACATTTCTGTAAAAGGAAGATACATAGATTTAAAGCTACTCCCAAAGCTCATCCATCGATACAATTTTCGTGACAAATGCTCTGGACCCACTATCTCCCATAACAGTGTAACTTATTACCTGTCACATGGTTAGATATAAGTGGGCATAACTCTTTTTCTACGACGAACACCTGGAAATCAAAATTTCTTTTGCTTGCAGTTTATAATAAAAGTACGAGTGCAATTTGTAAAATTATTTCGAGCAAGAAAACTTACATCAGCACGTGTTCAACATGCTTGGAATTAAATTAGTTTTTGCGAATAATGATTATTATTATCGATAATAATTTAAGAAAATTTATTCTGCAAAACTGTTCTTAATGTTACCTTGAAATAATTACTTTAATAAAATAAAATATTTGTCAGTTGATAAGAAAATCTCAGATAAGATTTCAGCTTTACTTCTCTCCGCCCATCATTTTAGCGTGTAATTCTTGTGGATGCGCTTGGGAGAAAGTGCGACACATTATGTTAACCTTGCATCTCGGTCATTGTCCCACTTAAGACTCCTAAGGATGGCTTCTTAATGACGTTTACTACTTCAAACTTGCACGGTGCTTCTTGTTCCCCTATCTAATATCTTTTATGGAAAACAAACTAGTTACGGTGGAATAGGGTGAAGTGAATAGCTGTTATCGTAAAAAGGACGTAAACTTTTTCATTCATTTCCGTCTTCAGTTCAGGCAATATTGGGTAAAATGCCTTCGTAACGTTTTCAAGGAAAACTGTCTGTAATGTCAGCTTTTACTTTTGGTTATAACAACCGAATTCAACTGTCTAACATTATCTCTCTTATGTCACTACTCTATATTAAAATTTTATTCACTTCTTCGATTAGCAGCGAAAGCTTTTTCCATATAAAAATAGATCTTTAGCAAATGAATGTATACCGTTGATTTATCTATTTGCAAAGTAGTGTTTAATTCAGCCTTGAATTGAATTGGAAACAGTCGCGGGTTAAATTGAGAATGCAATTTCTTTAAGCGTCGCATCGCGCGCCATTCTTGTAATTAACGCAATTATTCACGGGCGCATGCGTTTAATACGTGCAACCAGTAAATGTAGGTTCACATAATTTTCACATATATCGGGATGACTCGCTCGTCTTGCGCCAACTAAAGTTGTAAACTAGCTTAAAGTCTCTCACGGCCTTCAATACGAGACCGTAGACAATGTGTGCGGCACGGGCGAAATGTGTACGCGATACTAAGCTACACTTATGCTCCCGACGAACTAATTAGAGAAGGAGAAGGTGTTAAACTTGCTAGCTAACTCTCGAGCCTCGAAATTCCTCTAATTTTGTATTCGCTTTTGAGCAAACAATACGAAGAAATACTCGGCAAATGGAACGAGAATATTTTTTAATTCAACGTCTCCGTCTTTTATTCCAAACAAAAAATATGCATTCGCCGAGGAAGGTGGAAAATAGGGAAATCAAATTTAAGAAGCATAAAATCAATCTATACAGATTTTTATTAGTGAAATGATTTCTGTGCTCTATAAGAAAAATTCAATCACATTGTGGTATGGTTTTCTTATCGTTTAGATTATTTCGTGAAGAAACGTTAAATCAGTTGCACGTACTTTCTCTCCAATTATGTCTTGCCACTTTCCAAGCGATAACCAGAAATATTATCATATAATGAATCACTTATCTCTTAATTTCATTACGTCGCAATAAAGGACAACGTCGAAAGAAGTATTTGTGAGAAAAGAAAAAGTACAGTATTTTCTTACTAACTTTATTCTTCGACACTATTTACACTAATTACAACTATAGACATTTTAGACATTCATTTAATTCACACTTGATCAATGAACACTCGTTCACGTAACTCGGTATAGTGTAACCAAGCGTTCAAGAGTCCTCGTGTCAGGCAAAAGTGACTCTTCTCTGCAACCAGAGAAAAACGATCAACAGAGAATTAAAGACACGTTTCATTTTCATTCCAGATAACCATTACGCTGCTCTGCGTCCTGTTGATTGGACATAACGTTCACGCGGTGGTTAACAAAGCGCAACCTCAAGTATCGGTTAACAAGGATGAAGAGAAACCGAAGAATGGTGTTCAGGCTGACGATAGGATAAGTAATTCATATGGTCCACCTGCCGACGACTATGGACCACCGATAGGGTCAAGCATTAAGGGACCAGCACCGGTGTACGGTCCACCGGAACTGGTAGGCGATCAAGGACCGACGCCTATATATCCACCACCTCCGCCAGACGTTCCACCACCTGTCTACGGGCCACCATTGTCTTCATATGGACCGCCGCGAAATATTAAACCGCTTCACGGCCCACCAAAACAAAGTTTCGGCCCTCCTTTGTCTCCTTTACCCTTAAAGCTGAGCTTTGGTCCGCTGAAACTTCACTATGGCCCGCCGAAGCAACACTACGGACCGCCGTATTCATTCGGTTCGTTTAGGCCGCCGAAACCTCAGTATGGTCCACCGCTGAAATTTACTTCCGCCGTGTCTAATCAATACATAGCTTCGGGAGCCTCGAACCACGGGCCAACTAAACCGACACACGGACCGGTTATTCCAGTTTCCCTCGATACGTACGGTCCGCCACCTCAAAAACTGGTCGTACAGCTGAATTCTCAAGCGAGCGACAACTACGGACCACCGTTGCCACTGTCGATATCACCGTTGCCCGAGGCACAATACGGACCACCTACCGGTGATTTGTTCAGACTTCCTTCGCCGGTTCCTCCGCCAGGAGTACCTGCACCACCTACACCGCCAGATATCAAGTACGACGGCTGGCAGCCTATCGCAGGATTGAGCAATCAACACAGACAGCCTGGGATTAATTACGGCCCTCCACACGAGGAGCAGAAAATTTTCGACGTTTCCTCCGTCGGTCTGCATCTGGGACAACAGGTGACACGTCCTGTCGTCGAGAATCCGAATGTACCGAGTGATTCCTACGGAACGCCGATTCATCATCCGGAAGCTCAGGATTTAAAGAGTTCGGTGAATTCGGACGCTAACGGCGACAGAGGACTGCCGCCTCCACCTTTGCCGGAATACGAGCCTTTCCACAATGAAAGTCCGCCGAAGAAGGAGGCGCATAAAGAAACTGTAACAGGTCAGGTTAATTTGCAGTACGAAGTGCCCAATGTTGCGCCGCTCTCTATTGTAAAAACTATAGGATTCGAGTTACCGCCTACCACTCCGTCATTAACTACAGATCTTAGCGTAGGATCGCTGGCTTCCTTAAAGTTACCGCTTCTGAGTAGTGAGTCCCACGTAAATTTTGGTGATACACATGCGCTTCAAAATTTAGGAAACGACTTGTCGCTGTCGCAATTGTCAGGTAACACGTTGCCCAGTAGTTACGGTTCACCGCTATCAAGCGTTTCCTTCGTAAAACTTAACAATATCGAGTCAGGAATACCTCTGCCTCCGCCACCTGTACTCGATTCGTACAGTTCACCTCCACTTTCGTCCTATTCGCCTAACGGTCCTTATCCAGCTGCCGAGGCAGGCCGTGCGTCGTCGTACTCGTCGTTCGGACTGCACGGTAATTCGCTTTACAAACAGAACGTACACCATCATCGTCCTCACGGTTCCTTCAGATCTCCGCCGGCACCGTTCGGTTCCCTGGTACCGCCTAGAAATCGCGAGCCTGTTAAATTCAAAGAGACCATCCCTAGTGGACTTTACACCGCTTTCAATCGTTATCTCCCTCCTCCGAGACACTTTGAGCTAACCAAATCACCGAAGACCTACCTCCCTCCCCTATCGCTAGAACAGCAACTGCCTATTGTTAACGTTCCAATAGCTTTCAACAAATTACCCAGCGCCAGCTTGAATTCACCAATAGCAGCCCCGAACGCACAATACGGTACACCGTTGTCATTCGGCGACTTTAACACCCCAGCGCCGGTATTGACGTACGGTGCGCCTAACTTTGGACCCGCTTCTTCTTTCATCTCTACCTCGACAGGCATTGGAAACAATTTATACAACAGTATCGGGAACGCGATAACCACCACGTATGGTACACCGGTAGTGAATTTACCGCTGTCGACAGGTGGTGGTCACGATTGCGGTTTCCAGCAGACGGCCGCCGGTGCGCACTACAGCTTCGAAGACACCGGAAGTCACGCGGCGGCGGTAGGATCGCATGGTCCAAGTTTCGGCGCTTCTCTTTCCGCTGACCTAAATCAGAATTCGTTGCTTAAGGTGGAATCTCTGGCAGACACTTTAGGCGGATTAGGTTTCTCGCAACCGGTCAGCCAGCTGAGCCTGCAGAACTATGATCAACCGAAAGCGAATCTGAAGGACAGTTACGGTAGTCCAATAGGGATTACCTAATTTTATCCAGCGATCACAGCCAAGCAACGGATATCGCGAATATACTTTCAGCGCCTCCTGCCGCGTTGCCTAAAGAATCGTTCTCCTCGGGTATTCAGTTCGATCAGAACAGCGGTATAAGGGCTGAAGCGTTGACGTCGAGCTTGACCAACCAAGGATTCGCCCAGGCGAAGAACCTTGGCTCGAACGAGCTGGATACTAGTCAATTTCTCAATGCTCACGGTGGCAACGAATTCTTGACCTTGGCCAAAGGACTGAGCGGCAACGACGCCGACGGCTTCGAGATTCAGGGGTCGAAGGGAACGTACACGTTGAAGATTCAACCTGCTGACGGAGGATTAGGAACGGAGAATTCGGACGGTAGCATCAGGCACGATCAAGTGTTGTCGAACGGTCTTCTGCAGGATATTCTCGCAGCTATCGAGCAACCGGAACAAGGACAGGTCCAGCTTCAGGGTCATCCGGAGGCGCAATCGTTGCAGCACGTCTATAGCGATTTGCCACAGGCTGAGAGTATCAACGTTCCCAAAGGACATTACATAACGCTGGATGAGGACAGTCGGGTGAAGAATGTGGACGATCTGGTTGGACATGCCAGCGATAGGAGCGAGGCTGAATTTAATAAAGGAGAGTTAGCGAAGAAGGAGACTGTTGCTCTTTTCTTCAATAATCAATACGACGACTCGAGGAAAGAGACGAGATCGGTGACGAAAGTGGAGAACGTGCCCTCTGTTTCTTTGGACGACGGGAAGAACGTTAGTCAAGCGAAGTCTTCTTAAATCGTCTCACTTTGTCCAGGTGTTATTTCCATTGGCACTTTTCGAGGGTAAACGTATTCTAATTTATGCAACGAACGAACATTCGTTATTACGAAGTTGAGATTGGGTAATAATCGCGAGGTGACTTGGATGTGAGACCTGAAATTGTCTCGCGTGATATTGATTGCTTCTTTAAATTATGAAGTGTTTAACGTTGATTTTGCGGTGATCAGAGAAACAGATTCACTTATCGAATTACTGTGCACCCGTTTGCAAACGAATTTAACGATTTTCCATGACGTGGTAATTATGCTTC